GAATATTGTAAATTAGTAGTCAATAACGATATTAGTGTTTTTAAATAATATTGATTTGTAAAGTAAGATCACAATGAAATTACAGTTCATTAAAGATGCCTAAATTATAATAATAAAAAAAGATATAATACCAAATAGAATATCAACTCAAATTAGAAAAATTCCACAAAAATTCAGGATCACGCAAACCGAGATGGCCAATGGGGTAATGATAATGTCTGAACTAACTTCTTTTGGATGCACAAATTAGGCTTGTTAATAGGGATCCCAACGGCCAGTCATCCTCAGGAATATTTAGTAGTCGAACTCTTAAGGCGAAATTGAGATTCGTAGGTACGCGGTTAATGACTCTAAAAGCCACCTGGTTAACGTCAATCTTGTGTTGTGTATCCACAATATGAGTGAGATGGAATAGCGCTTGGAATAGATTTTGTTTGTCCTTTACTTAACCACCATACAAGATGATGTTCGGAAATTTGACGAGAAACACGCCTTATTTTTCGGCCTATGTAACTGGTTCCACAGGAGCATTCTCTGCTGCCGAATTACTCTGTGTCTTCCAAACCACTCTTCTTCTGCGTTCAGGAGTAAAAGACAAACTGCCTAATTTCACCTCTTCCGTGTGTATCTACCAATTTAACTTCTCCTGTGGAGTGAGCCAGTTAGCTGCATAGGCCGCACAATTAGGCGTGTTTCTCGTCGAATTTCCGAACATCAACCTGCATGGTGGTTGGTTAAGCAAAGGACAAACAAAGTCCATTCATAGCGCTATTCTGTCTCATTTTGTGGATACAGAACACAAGACTGATTGACGTTAACCATGCTTTCAAGGTCATTTACCGCATATTTACGAATCTCCATTTTGCCTTAAGAGTTCGACTACTAAATAGTGCTGAGGCTGGCTGACCGTTTGGATCCATATTAACAAGCCTAATTTGTGTATCCTAAAGAAGTTAGTTCAGACATGGTATTTACCTTGGCCATCTCGGTTTGTAAGATCCTGAATTTTTATGGAATTTTTCTAATTTGAGTTCATATTCTATTTGGTATTATATCTTTTTTATTATTATAATTTAAGCATCTTTAATGAACTGTAATTTCATTGTGATCTTACTTTATTATTATTATTGTATCCTTTAGTTCCTAGAGGAACATAGGGCTTCAGCTGCGCACCCCCATTGCCTTCGGTTTTCTGACAACTTTTTCACCCCGCTCCAGGTCTGTCTACATGCTTTCATCTCCTCCTCGCATGACCTCCTCCAAGTTACCCTTGAACGACCAACTTGCCGCCTCCCTTTCGGGTTCCACTCGAGCGATGGCTTGTCTAGTGATGTCACTTGATGGTTTCCTCAGCGTATGGCCAATCCATCTCCATTTCTTTCTGCCTATTTGTTTCACAATCGGTTCCTGATTGGTTCGCTCCCAGAGATCCCTGTTGCTGATCTTTTCTGGCCATCTGATGTTGAGTGGTATTGAGCGAAGACAACTGTTAATGAAGGTCTGAAGTTTGTTTGAGATGCTCTTTATGACTCGTCAAGTCTCTGATCCGTATAGTAGCACTGACTTCACATTGGAGTTGAAAATCCGGATCTTATTTTTGATGATGAGTGCTGTTGACCTCCACACAGATTTGAGAGCAATGAAAGCTTTTCTTGCTTTTCCGATTCTTACTTTACAAATCAATATTATTTGAAAACACTAATATCGTTACTGACTACTAATCTAGAATATTGTATGTATATGAACATATGTGTATATATTTGTAGAGCCATAAAAGGAATTTATCGAAATAAAGATATTCTTTGCTCAATTATTTTGCATTAGAAATTATTAAAAAATAATCCCAGAGTGTCGAAGAAAAAATCAATACAACATTTTTTTGAACGTTACGCGCTGCATAAGACTTAGACAGTTTCCTCACCAGAATTATTCAAATTTTATATTTATATTCATCAAAATATATATATATTCAAAAATCACATAAATTGAAGTGACTTCCTGTGAAGGTCACTTGTAGGTAGACAATTGTAACAAAAGAAAAGTGTAAATAGTCACCACATATTTGTACTAAGTAATGTTGAATTATCATATATGGATTATTGTCTGCATGCGGGTGTGTGTGTGTGTGCGCGCGCATCTTGTTTGCTGTATGGGAAGCACGTCAAAACATCATAATATTTCATAATGTGGTTACAATAGAGAATTGAATAGTTTTGTATTTTCTCTATATAGGTGATAAGCCTATCCCTTCTCTTCTATTCGCCGAATTCCATGTGGTTAAAATAGTGTGCAAGGCTTCAGAGGTTAGTCTTTCTTTATGTGTTGAATGAAAGCCTCTTCCTAGAATGTCGTTCGACATTGTCGAAATCGATCCTATGTCTGCTGTCTATAGATAGCATGCATTGTTATAGCTGCTATTTTTTCTAGACCTTTTAATTCTACTTCATTTCTAGATGAACGTTTCGTGCATAGCCTATGCTCATTCGCTGTGACCTTCATCTTTCTACTGCTCTCCCCTATATAGTAAGAAAGCTTCACATTCTGAACACTTTATCCTATAGACACAATTACTTTGTGTCATTTTGGAAACGATATCTTTGACATTCACTAAGGCTTTCTCCAGAGAATTAGAGGGCTTGAAATACACTCTAATATTATACGAAGCAAATAGTCTTTGAAGTTGTTCAGCTGTGTCCTTTCAGTATGGAATGGCTATCATCGATAGCCATGATTTTTCAATTTTCTGTTTTCCCTTATGCTCGTTTTTATTGATAATATTATCTAGTAGCTTTTCGGATAACCACTTTCAATCAAAATCTGTTTTATATTGGATATCTCATTCTCCATATCATCATTATCTGTTGTTATAATGTTTTTAGCTCTGTCAAACGAGATTTAAAGCTACTGCAGCCTTTATTCCTATTAGGTGATCTAAATGGAAATTCAAATACTTGTTGGAATGTGTCGGCTTTCTGTATATGTTAAACTTTAGTTTCTCGTCAGTTTGTCTTTCTACAAGACAATCAAGAAAGTTTAGAGTCCCCTGCGCCGATTCTACTTCATTAGTAAGCTCAATATATTCTGAGATTAAGTTAATTTCTGTTAGAAAGTTTTCTTTTTCAGCTTTCTTTATGATGATAAATGTGTCATCTACATATCTGAACAATATTCTAGGATGACAACTAAAACTTGTCAGTGCTTTCCTTTCTGGAGCTTTCACATACAGGTTTGCTACAATTGGAGATACTGGTGAACTCATTGCAACTCCATTTATCTGACAGTATAGTTTGTCTTTAAATCTAAAATATGTAGATTTCAAACAAAGTTTTAAGCATTTTATAACTTCATCTATTGATAATAAAGATTTAGTCAATACTTCCTGATTGTTTTCAAGTTCATATTTCATAATATCATCAAGTGAATCACATATAGGTAGGAATACTAGTAAATACAGAAACCACATCAAAACTTGCCATAATTTCGTCTTCTTCAATAACTGTACACATTGCTTTCCTTTTAAACTCCTCAATATTTTTATGGCTTGAAGGAATAATATTGTATTGAAGTGATTTCAGTATTGTTGACTTATGTTTTGATAAAGTGTATGTTAGTGAATTGGTGAAATCAATTATTGGTCTTAAAGAAACATCTACTTTGTGGATTTTCAGCCTTCCATAAAATCTCCTGGCTGAGTTTGCCTTGGGACAAATGTCTACTGAGAGGTAACGTTCAAAGGAACTGACTTCAATTTATGTAATTTTTGACTGTATATGTTGACTGACTGTATGTTTTCCTGTCAAGTGTCAAAGTGACTGCACCAAACTAAATGACTTTTTATTAAAAATCAGCCAATGGTCCAACGAAAACTGTCTTACCTTAAATCCCACTGAATGTCAAACGGTCAATTTCACCTTTAGCCATAAATCTGACCTAAACAAACTGGTTAACACTCATGAGGTGTGCAACATAAATGGCACTGAATTAGAAACCATGTCGGAAATTAAATATATATATATATATCTTGGCGTCATCCTATCTGCTGATCATTCCTGGTCATCTCATATCTTGATGATATCTTAGAAAATATTCTGTCTCACCTTCCACATCAAGACGTTAAGACATTCTGGATCAACCCAACCCAACCCTTACTCTTACGATTCGGTAACTCTCGCATCCTGCCTATTATTCTCTATTGTCCCCCCCCTCAGCTTATCCAGGGTTACTGAAGAAAGACTATATCTTATTAAGTACAGTGTTAAAGGTTGTCAGCAGGGTAAGCAACGGGCCACTTAACCAGCTTGTTAATAGTCTCTTCGACAGGCACTTGGACTCATGTGAAAAATGGGCTAAATCCATTTTATCTATCTAACTCACACCACCGTCTTCATTCAAAACTCTCCCCTTGTATCTCATCAGGTAGGACCAGAAGCCGATATAGAAAACTATATGCTGTCACTAGGAAGTCTTTCCAAACGACTGGCACGACATCTCTGGAAAAAGATTCATTAAATATGTCCATGAAAGGATAACACAGGATATTAGCATACTTTTTAAGAATAACACTAGGCAAACCATCTGGATCTAGGCTACAAGAAAAGTTCACAGACTAGAGACATTTTAGAACATCATTTGTATTGAAGTCAGGGAAGCAGGTTTCATTAACACTTGTAACACTAGAAAGTTTGGCATTTGTGGGAGAATATATGAAAGACTTGTTTAGTGTGCAAACATGAAAGGAATAAAGAATACTATTCATCTGCTTACCACCAGTAATTTATTTAGAAAGTTTCAATATATTGGAGGTATTTTTACAGGATATAAACTTTTGGTTGTAAAATGAATTCAATCTGTGCATTTCAGATTTGATTAGCATGTAAATTCTTTACAAACCAGTGCTATCCTTCATTTTATATAACTTTTCTTTTTACCTGCGAAGTTTTTAAGTTGAGGAATCTTTCAACATGACTTCAATTATTTTTTGTTTTTGCATTTCACATTAGGTAATTCGTAATTTATTTGTTAAAATTCATCATAATTTCTACAAATCTGTTGTCCATTGGGATGATCGTTGGGACAAAAGAAGAAGAGACGGGAAACCGATTGGTCCACACAATTCACAAAATTGTATAGCATGTCAAAATGGATTGTGTCGTGGTGTGAATGCAAATAGTAAAGCTCATGTGAATGATACAGGAACTGAACCTGGAACCAATGAAGCATTAAACACAAATGATAATCCTTTATCTTCAACGTCATCATCATCAACGGAAGGAGATCTGTCGTCAGCACAAATTCAGCAAAGTCAAGAAGGAGGGCTTCTCATGGAAAATCCGCCTAAATCACCTCCTTGTAAACGTAGAGCTGTAGAATAGTTGGAACCGATTTATTTCATATATCGACAAAGATTATTATTTTGATTTAGAACGTCGGTGAAGAAAGTCTCATCTTATATAAATAAAAAAACTTTCAACTGACTTGTGTACTTTCTGCAAATGTGTGAGTGTATGCGTGTTCGTACCCGTGTCCATAATCTCGATATTAGGTAGTATGGTAATGACAGTGTTTAACCCCCTAAAGATATATAATTAGGCATTGATGCTTTTGTGTAACACCCACTGATTGAGTGTTTCGTGTCTGTATGAAAGGGTGTAGTGATGCTAAATCTATGTTAAAAGGTAGAACCATTATTCTGATGCTCGCCTGATGGTCGCTGAGGACTTGCAACAGGACGGCGTTTCTTGGAGTTCTAGTGAAAAGTTATGACAAATGAGTGGTGCATCCAGATGTCAAGTGTGAGGATGGATGTCCCACCTATGACACTGGTTGGTGCCAGTAGTGCTAAATCATGAACTGATAGAAGTTAGAATTCATGGACTGGCAATTGGGGAGTCCGGTGGGTCCCAGGGGCTGGACGGTATACGAACCATCTTGCCTGGGTTCGTACTCTGGTGGTGGGTGCATACTGCGGATAACTCCCAAATTAGGACGAAACAGCTGGCTGTCCATTACTCCCTAGTTAGGTTTTCAATGGTTCGCTAACTGATATCGATCCGTGATCAACTATTAAAAACAAAAATAATCCTTACAATCCAACTTTAGAAAATCCTTTAGTCGTGGGATTAACAATCTGGTTAGTGCTTTAGCCATTACAGTTATCACACAATCAGATATCTGCTTTGACCATTTTAATTTCCGCTTTTATAGTATGGTACGCACTCTAAAATGTATAAACGACATTATTTGATTTCTTTTTTACCAGTTGTCATAGTTAAGGTTATTGTAGGACTGTGTAAGAGGATCGCATCATTTCAAGTTTTACACTTAGAAAAATTGCATAACATAAGGCAACAGGGTTAGAAGCATACTACATACAAACAACCGAGAGAATAATTAAGAGAAGATTCTTGCTCTGTTTCAAATCACGGAAAATACCCATTGAGTCATGAAGGAAATAAAAGACGGATTCAGCGAAGAAAATTTTCTTTATCGACGAAATCATCTTCAGAGGCTGTACAGTCGTATTTATACTTAGAAGAATGTATAGTGGTCTATTACTAGCTCAATTCTCGAGCATTTGGTGAACTCAGACCACGTAGCTCCACCAGAGTCGTCTTTCAACATCATCTACAAAGTGAAGCCAAACTGTACAAAGGGCGTCAGGTTTCGGCTTTTGTGTATGGCGGAGGCGCTGGCTATACATCAATACAACCCTGATCTCTGTATACCGAAAAAGTTTGTCCAGTCTCTTATTCTACCTTGGTCTTAACCTCTTCACTTATCCTTCCCTGTTAAAAAATATTTTTTGATTTTGTTCTTAATCTTTAATTTTACTTTTAGTTTGCTTTTGCTTTAATAATTAATTCACTATTATCAATTTCATATATTTTCACACCTTCTTCACACTTGTTAAATTGACACTCTAATAACTTTATTCCCACTCAAGAGCAATTTTAACCTTTTCTAACTTCTATCTTTGTTCCGTCAAGTACCATGTAATTTACAACTTTTAATTTTCACTTCTAAAGCCACTTATGACTGATTATATCAATTATGTCACCCTCCCTGTTACTCAATAATAGATCACTATACATTTCTCTAAGTATAAATACGACTGTACAGCCTCTGAAGATGATTTCGTCGATAAAGAAAATTTTCTTCGCTGAATCCGTCTTTTATTTCCTTCATAAGAGAAGATTGTTGAAGAAATTCAGGATGCAGCAGAGGACTAGAAATGATGAATACTTATGTGCCACTGAGCCACTAGAGAACCTAGCCAAGAAGTGTACGCCTTTCTACACATCTCAGATTGGTTTCAGAATTTTATCATGAGCTGAAAACCAATGTGGAGTACGGGATAGCTGTTTCGTCAGCCTAGTTTCGGGACTCGTCATCAGTACGCACGAATCACTACGGCTCGAACCCAGCACACCTTCTCGTTACAAGGCTAGTGAGTACGTAGACCATTAAGCCATTAGAACCCTATTTAATGGTCAGTCAGCCCATGAATTCTAACTTTTGTCGAATCACATTCAAGACCACATTCAACAAGTCTTTGCATTTGAAGATGACGACATTAACATAGACAGACTCGGTGAAATCGCTGATCGCATGTGTGAGAGAGAGAGAGATCAACACCTCAAACCGTCACTTCCGCCAACCAAATACCGGATACACAGACTTTAGAACTTCAAGTAAATTCCTTACTGTGCCGGTTAGCAGAACTGACAACTCACACACACACATATGCAATCGAACTTCACTAGAAGCGCATCATCCTACATATTTTTTATCATATTTAACATTTTTGTTATTCTTACTGCACTGTTCACTTGTATTATTAACTCTCCATCTACTTTTCATAACTGTATGGATCAAATCGCATAGGTTTCGTCTCGACGAATTCACATTTTTCTGTATCACACCACCACTATTAATATTATTTACTTTAATTCCTAGAGTAAGATGGGGCTTCAGCTGCGCCTCTCCATTGCGTTCGATCCTCTGACAACTTATTCACCTGGCTCCACGTTTGACCACATGCTTTCATCTCCTCTTCACATCACTTCCTGCAAATCACCCTCGTAGTGACGACCAACTCGCCGCTTCCTTTTCGGGTTCCGCTCGAACAATGGCTTGTATAGTGATGTCACTTGATGGTTTGTTTCCTGAGAATATGGCCAACCAATCCACCTCCAGCTCTTCCTGCTCATTTGTTGCACAATCGGTTCCTGGTGGGTTGGTTTCCTGATAACCAGAGATCCATGTTGCTGATCTTTCCTGACCGGTCATCTGATCTTGAGTAGTATTGAGCGAAGGCAGCTGTTGATGGTCTGTAGTTTGTCTGAGGTACCAAGTCTCTGATCCGTATGGTACCACTGACTTTACACTGGAGTTGAAAATCCGGATGTTTTTTTTTATGCTGAGTAGTGATGTTGACCCCCATACAGACTTGAGAGCAATGAAAGCTTGTCTTGCTTTCCCGATCATTGCTTTGATATCCCCGTTAGGGGAGCAACCCACAAGGTCATCTCTCTGTCAACCATATTTGGATGTAACAACCCCCTTCCCAAGCGTGAGGCCAGCAACCCCACCCTGTAGACAAAGTTGCTACAGAAACTTCAGCACGATGAATCGCCTTGCGCCAAAAGAAAAAGTCTTTGTGGGGACATGGAACGTGAACGTAGTATGGTATTATAACTGGAATCAAATTTAGCATTCAATAATGACTCTTCTGTCATTATTTAGCATAACTAGTTAGGTGATATCGATGTTTAGATGGTTGTAGGCAATCAGCAGAAAGACTCAGTCCTAGGTTTCGTGCCCAATCAAAGGATATCGATTTTTGTTTGACTCTGGATGCACAAATGTATGTTTTTAAGTATTGGTTTTTGTAGGGATTTTGTTTGATTGCATGGAGGATTTCACCATGAGCTGACATCATCGGTTAGAGAACCACTGGAACCACTGGCAGAAGTTAAAATTCAAGGACCGTTGGATCGAGTCTCAATGGCTGATGAATGGTCTACGAGCTTGCTAGCCTTGTAGCCAGAAGGTCCTGGGTTCGAACCCTGTTGGTGGGTGCGTACCGATGAAGAGTCCCAAACTGCTGTCCAGTACTCCTTAGCGGTTTTCCAGTGGTTCTGTCAATGATGTCACCTCATAATGAAATCCTCCATAAAATGTATGTTTCTTCAAAAAATTCTACTCTGTAAAATTTAGAGTTAATATTCCCCTTTGTATTTCATCTCCACAATAAGATGATTCATTTTTAACCGCATATATGTCTGAGCCTCTGTAATATCAACTTTATCAAGAAATATGCATATAACACGTTAAACTTTCACAATGGCATTTTTATCGTAGACACTGATATAACGGAAGTGAATAGTTATTTATCTCTCATTTTTCACACGATCAATAATCTGTCTGGAATTCTTAATCATGACAAGTTATTTAAAGAATTTTATGAATATCAAAACATTTGTTAATTTTGTTACTTGGTTATAATATTATTTATAATTACTAGAATACACACGGTGTTAGTGGTAAATGTGTTGTGTTTTTTTTTTCATTCGTTCTGTGAATTATAACTTTAATGCTAGATGGTTGGAGGCAGTCGGCCACAGGAAGATTTACTCAGCATAGGTTTTGAGGCTAGTTGGCACTCATGAGTCACCAAGGTGTACCAGCAAACACCTTGAAGGAACCCAGATCCATTATGGATAAGATTTTATTTTGATAAAGTATCACACACTAGACTGTTATACAGTAATATTAACTGATGACTAAACACCTCGAGCACAAAATACTGCCAGTCATAATCACATCAGGTCACTCACTCACACAACTTCCTTCCTTCGTTTATATACATGTGTGGAACTGACTAGATATTTGAATAAAAAATCAATATGAGATAATGTACCTTCAGAAATAATAATATGAGTGTTATTGACCAAATACAATCAGATGGGAAATAAGACGAGTGTTTTTACAGTCAAAATAAATAAGTAACTTGCTAGAATGTTGTGATGTACGTGAATTGAATTGAAATAGAATTTTGAGATTATTTATTATCCTCCTGTGATTTCACTGACTGACTGGTGGTAATAATATCTTCCATGCATATCTCTGGTATTTACGTTGAGTCATTTCTGCTGCATGTGTTATGTGTAGACTCAATGAACCAGTCAGGATTCAGTAATCAATCTCTCTCTCTCCATCTACATATATTACTTCTTAGAATTTTTACCCTCACCCACCACCCTATTGTATGGTTGTGTGTTAATGCATGCATGTAGTGCAGTTGGTGAGCTTTTTTCTAAATTACTTATCTTCTCGGGTGGGGTCAACCATTCTAACTTTAGCTAAATTCTTATG